CCGGCTGCTTTGGTATTCGACATGCTCGTCAAAGGTCTCGTATTGTCTTTGGGCGCGTGGATCGGTAAGGTTTTGAGGTAGATTTATCCTTGTTCACTATTGTTCCTCTGTAGGGGGTATTCTCACCGCCGTTGGTTTCATCGTCTACAACATCATCACAGCGAGAGCCGATGAACACAACATTGAAAACTCGAATGCTACCTGAGAGATGATTCAACGACGAGTGGTTTGTCGACCACTCGTCCTCCAGAAATTCCTATTCTTTTCATTTCATTTTGTATTATAATTCGTTGGTGTCAGTTTCATAATGATCACAGAGTTGTCATGTAGTGTTTTGAGCAGTAGAGAGCTCAGTAGTCATATTAAGGTATACCATGCAATACCCTCTAACCATATACCGATGATATGTGTTGATAGTCTATTTTATCGGTATCTACAGCATTTCCAGGTCAAATTAATTTAATATAACTGCCGAAGCGGCGACACGATTCCTCGAGTTGTCATTGACCTTCACGACGTGCACGTGGTCATTGGGCGCGCCTTGATTAAATTAAACTCCTGAACTTTCAAATAAACCAGGTATAATATTAATTTTCTTGGTATTTCATTAAACCCATGGGTAAAACGTTAATTAAAAAGGTAAAACATTAACCAAATGGGTAAAGAATTAATTTGACCTGGAAATGCTGTAGTGTAATATTTATCCATGCGGAAATCTAACGATATCTGAGTTCTTCAACGAATGCTTGTTCATCTGGGGCCGCTATGCCACCTCTGTGTACCATAACACAATCAATTTCTCCGAGTGGGGCCGCTATGCCACCCCGATATACCACAAAATGATCAATTTCTCCGTGTGGGGCCGCTATGCCACCCCGATATACCACGAAATGATCAATTTCTCCGAGTGGGGCCGCTATGCCACCCCGATATACCATAACACAATCAATTCCTCCAAGATTCCCCCTCCCAATCGACTCTCCATCCGATGATGACCATAAACGCCAAGATCAGTACTTGTGATAGAAGCAGTAGTCAATGCGCTTATTCGAGGGCGACAGTGGCGGTACCGGATATATTGTAATCGAAAATGTCTCTACTAGGGTCGTGTAAATGGTCATCTAGATCGTACACATCAACGTAGCGAGAAGCAGATATCATCTCGATCACTTTATCATCTGAAATTGGAAACATTCTGAGATAGCATAGCTGATTTATTTGTCTCACCAGAACCCTCAGGGATTTCAACTGAGCAGTCCGGAGATTCCTTCCGGAGACCATCAGCAGAATAACCGGTCAGTGTCACCTTCTTGGATCTTACTTGCATCTAAGCAAAAGCAGCAGAACGGATATTCCCCTCTATATCGTGAAGTTCGATGATTCTTCATTAACAGATATACATTCCTTGAAAATAACAATCAGTACGTATGAAAATGCCAAGTGAGATTTCTGTGTGCAACACTCCTTCGGCGAGGCGGTTAGGTTTTAGTTTAGGAGCATAGCTGCGGACTCAGTAATACGTCAAGATCAGGTGTATGTATGAGAGGATAAGTTCGCGTCTATATATGTGTACAATATAATCATCTATGAATGGCCATTGATAATTCAGATCAACACCCCGCATCACTAACGAGAAGTTTCCCATATTCACCAGCCATATTTTTGCCCAACATTCGCTACCGTATAACAACAACAACGGAAAAAATTCAATTATTCGTGATTGTTTATTCTCCCCATGAACCATCCTACCGTATAGACGATAATAGATCCGTATTTACCCAAAACCTCAGCAATTTGTCGTACAACAGGACCTGGCTTAGCAGAAGAAGTATATCTGAAATCTCTAAATTCACATTCCGAGCGTGAGGAGTTTCCCAGTACACCGCCACAATTTTGAGCTTCTTCTTATCGCAATAAGTTTCAACCAAAGAAAGCGCCAGCTTGATCATCGGCGTGCTCACTATTCCACAATGGAACAACGGCACAGCTTCCTTTATGGTATCTGAGTAGAGTCTATGGGAGAACTACTCTATTGAGACGAATCATACCTTCTGACGAGCCCAGGAGCAGGCCTATAACATCATCTTGTTGATGCCTGAGGAACAGGAATGTTTGAATGCATTCCCCAAAAGTGAAGATAATATTATCGACAATTTCATTTAATAAGAATACACGACAATCATATACAACTTAGCATCAATATAATCAAGTGAGATTGTTGTACAGTACAACACGACGACAATTGAGATACAGTGAATATGAAATTTCCAACGATAAGAATAAACAATGATACACAACGAAAATCGATAACCATAGTCGATAGTAGATAGAAGTGAAGGAGACGGTTTGTCTGTGCCGTTCAAATTCAGAAAAAAAACAACAAGTACATTACGAGAATAACGAGCGATTCGCATTTCCTTATTGTGATCTCTGCCAATTCATGATGTTTGTATGCGTATTGGGAGCCTCATTTAACGGGTCAGGAAGTCAGGTGGAAACTTTGAGAAATTTCTGTTGATTTCTGTACACTTCGTACACTTGAATTCGTATGTAAACTACTATAATCAGTGAGGAAGCTCTTGAGCTTAATTGAGCAAAGCCAGCATATATTCATATGGTTCGTGTTGGAGGCTCCAACACTGGTAAAGATCAGTTTCAGGCTGGGATTCCCATCGTATTACTTCACAGCGTGCAGCTGGGGCTTCGCATAAGCTTCCAATGTGAAGGTCTGCTTAGTCGGAGACATCTAATCACAATAAAAACTATTTCATACCACTCCATCGCTACTTCA